TTGTTTTTTGCCATCGTCGTTCCAGAGGATCCAAAAGTGGGAGTGGGTGCTGTTATCTGGGCAAGAGGGCGGTCGGTAAGAGCTCCGTAATTCTTTTTATTTCAACATACAGCATTAGACTCTACAATAAAACTTTACCACACTTTTGTGTGATGGGAACTCTAAATTGGAATTAATTATTATTTAATTGTTTTTTTGTTCAGTTTTTACAGTTCATAGTGCAATGGTATGAAGCAGATAATTCAAGTGTCCTGACTAATTCTTGAGTGATTGCTATGTCGTGTTCTAGCAGGTGGCGACCTTATACTGAATTTCAATCTGTCTGTAAACCAGTTCCTAAAAATAAGGGATACTCCAATCACAAATATATATATATATATATATATATATATATATATATATATATATATATATATATATCTTGACCTCCCTCATCTCAGGCTGGCTGTCGAGGAACAGGCTGCCTGGATTTGGTGGGTTGCGGATACAATGCCTACCCTGCAGGCTCAGAGTACGCAGAGTACCCCCAAATGGACTGTACACAGGAGGACCGTCAGAGACGCAAATACAGATACATCATCCACGCAGAACAGAACGCCCTCACCTTCAGGTCAGCTCGTTTAACAACACCTGCCTGTCAAGTCTCATTTGTCTCTCTTGACTGACGGATGTCTCCTCTGTCTGTGTTTTCAGGACGCGAGACGTCAAACCAGAGGAGCTAACCATGATGTTTCTGACCAAATGTCCGTGTGACGAGTGTATCCCTTTGATAAGAGGGGCTGGAATTACACACATCTACACCTCAGACCAGGACAGGGACAAAGACAAGGGGGACATTTCCTACCTGAGATTCAGCACCCTGGAGGACATCAGAAAGTTTGTTGTAAGTTAGCATCAGAGAGAATTAATATTTATTTTTCCAACACAAGCATGATTGACAGCACTAAGGCCCACCTCCTGGTTCTGATTGGTTGTTTCTGACTGAGTGGTGTATGTGCAGTTAGTGCAAGGAGATTTTTCACAGATTATCTTTTCTGTCACAATATGTACAAAACTATTTTTCATACTGTCGCTTTAAGGAGTAAAGTAAGAGATGTTTATTTTCTCACAGTGGCAAAGGAACCCTTCTATTCCTCCTGAACCGTCTTCTCATGTCGCAAGTAAGTTACAGCTCTCTGTCCTTGTGCTTTTATTCTCTTTAACTGCGTTTTATGTTTTTACGTGAAACACTGTGACCACGTCGTTTCTCTAGATGGTTGTATTCGGAAGCACAGCCGGCAGACTGAGCAGGAGTACGGAAATAAGAAGCTGTGCACCGAGAACACTAAGAGTTTGCCTTCTGGCAGCTGAACGTTCGTAAAGGATGGACTGGCCTGTTCATGAGCTCAACTCCACAGACGTTATACGAGGGGCGAATAATTTGCTGATGGTAAAATCTGCACTACTACAAAAAGTATTTCTTCCTCTACAGATTTCATGTTTCTTGCTTTGTTTGTCACACTTCAATGTTTCAGATCATATCAAGCTAAGATAACATCTACCACCACCAGGTTTGGTAGTCCACTGAAAATATCCTCTTTTTTTTTTTCTCATCAGCCCGCAAAATATTTTCTCCAAATGGCAAATATTGTTACTTATTTATTTACTTAGGTTATTCCTGTCTAACGTTAAATGCTTCAGTTAAAAATTTTCAGTGTCAAGAAAACAAAAACAGAAGAAACCTGTAAGGGGGCAGATGTACGAACAATTTTACAATTTATTTGAACATCTGGGACAATGTAGTAACCTCAGCAACATGAAGAGTTAGAGTCATAAATGTAAGTGAAATTGGTTTATATTTCCATATGAGAGGACTAAGCTGTTGAGAATGGATGCTAAATGTGGCGAGACTTGTTGACAGAGACTTGACTAAAATTTAAAGGAATGCAGGTTGCACCATTTCCAGATGTTTTTATTTGACAGTTTACTACAGAATATCTAAATACGTTAAGTTTATTTTCTGTTTTAATCCCTTGATGTGTGTATTTTTGTCCGTGGTTCAGACAAAGAAGCTCAGTGTAAACAGATGTGACTTTCAAAGTTTGAAGACACCAGTGACACCAGTTTTGTAACTGAAAAGATAAAAAAGCTTTGTGAAACCAAAGTGCCACATTGATATGTAAAGAAAAATTTGTAAAGAAAGGGATTTCATTGTGATTTGTTTGAACCTTTTTGCCTTTTAGTTCACAACTTGTAAAATTATGTCTTGGTACAAAAAAGTTAATTTTGTTCAAAATGTAAAACTCATTCTGTTGGTTAAAGATTTCAAGCATTTATCTCTTTATATCTCTCCATCTTTAGTTTGATTACTGTGGTTTACAGTTAATGAAAACCCAAAATTCACTTTCTCCCAAAATTAGTCCTCGGGTTTAATCCCCGACCCCTGATTGTCTTCCACTTCTCTTTCTCTTCACCTTCCTGTTACACAGGTAATGAAGATAAAGTAGTTTTATTATTTCTATTTATGCAGTAAGCTTAAAATTATCTTTTCTGGTAAGCCACAAGTCATTGTTGTGCATTCTATAATAATTAACATTTCAAATAAATTGTTAAATTATTTGAAATGTATTCGAATTTTGAATTTTGGGTTTTCTTCAGCTGTAACTCACAAACGGTTTCTGATGCAGGCGACATATGAGAAGGAGGCAGACCAAGCAGGCTCGGTCCACCTCTGATCACAAATAAAAGAAATAAATGCTTAAAATATTTCAATTTGTGTAGAGTTACTCTCAAAAGTCTACACACCATTGTTGAAACTTTTCCCGAGTTGGCTTTTGCGACATTAAAAAGAAAGAAAGAAAAAAAAAAAAACAGGACATGGTATCTAACTTTCTTCAAATACTGTGCTTTAAAAATACAACAAACAAGTACTTTGTCGCAACATTTTTGATTCAGTTAGAGCGTAAAATATATTAGGTATGAGCTGTCCACAGTGAACATCTTCCACAGCCCACTTCAGCTGCTGAAGTGGGCTGTGGAAAATGTTTATGAAGTCTTTCTTTTGTTGAGCTGGATGTATGCTTCGACTCACTCCTGAAAAAATAAATTCCTTCTTCATATTCGATTCTCTAAAGGTTTTTTTATTGGTCGAGTTATCAGTGCCAATTACCTTAACTTTGGGGGATTGGTGATTGGCCGATATGTGAAGCCAATTTTATCCACTGATTTTACCTACCTGAACAAAGGTATAAAAGTTAGCCACCATCCTCTTTTGCTCTGCAGAGAGAGGTTTGACTGACAGACCGGCCCACCAGGTCATGTCTGCACTTTGCACTTAACAGTAGTGACCCTACTATTGCCAACTCAGCAACTTTCTTGCTACATTTGGCGACATTTCAGACAAAAAAAAAAAAAAAAAATTGGTATCGGCCAAAAACAAGATCGGTCATCAGCCAGAAAACTGCAACCAGTGCACCCCAACTTAAGATGGAATACATACACACATATGACATTCTTTGATTAAATTAATTTCTTTTAGTTGCAATTACAATAGTTAAAATGTAATTTATATCAGAAGTCTTTCTCATCTGAGAATGTGGGCTTAGTCTGAGCCTTCAAACAATTTTAATTGGAGAAGTTTTACATAACTTATAAGTTGATGTAAAAGTAATGTTTGTTTTAGATACATAAATTATCATGCTCAGCAACAAAATAATATCGCCAATTACATCTTAGAGTAGCTCATTTGATATATTAATGCAATAGCCATGTAGCCTGATGAAAGAAACTTCTTAGCTAGACAATGTCAAACATTAAGAAGTTAATTGTTATTAAACGTAATCAAACACGCCGTTTTGAACCCCAGTAATATACAGAGCCAACCATGAGAATTAACTAATTTAAAGTTAAAGCTCGGTTTCACACAAATACAAACATTGTAGCGTAAAAGTTTGGTTGTTGAGCTGGACCAGTCAAGGTCGCTATCAAGCTAAGTTTCTATTAGCAGCTCCGCAAATCTTTCTGATAAACATTACGTTACCAAGACACATTCAAACATACCTTTATGTTGGCTTTTTCTATTCTTCATTTCTTTTCTTTCTCCCTGAAGGATTTAGTCCTTTTTTGCGACAAAAAATGGCTAGAAGATAAGTCCTAGAATAGAACAGTGGTGCCCAAAGTTGGTCCTCAAGGTCCTGCATGTTTTAGTTCTCTCCCTGGTTTAACACACCTGGATCAAATGATGGCTCATTAGAAGACCAAAGAAGAACATCGACAGGCTGAGGAGGTTGTTACTACCACCAGAGAGAGAGAAAGACAAAACTAAAACATGCAGAAGATAAGTTTTGCTAACTTACAAAATTAAAAACTTGTTTATATAATTCTTATTACTGCTAATTTTAAAATAATCTTAATCTTATTATATAATATCATGTGCGTTTTTGAGTGCGACGGGGTGAATAAAGCGCTAGTGACTGTCGATAAGCATTTTCCTGTGGCTTGCACAGTCAAAACTGCAAAAGCTCAATATTATATGAGACAGTGTTCCTGCATGGTTCTAATTCACTGCAAAGGTATACATGTTTCTTTAATGGAGCCAAAACAAGATTTGTGTTTGGACTTGGACCCTGTTTCTCTGGATAAATTGCTCCTGCCAACAAAAGCATCCTAACAATGCAGTAGGATGCAACTCTGCTTCATAAAAGGACTGCTCCTCTTCCAAGTAAAAGGTCACATAAACTTCAATACCTCTTCATTTTGGGCAAAAATATGCCTGGCTATACTTGAAATCATGCCCTCCAAAAACTAAAATAAGGAAGCAACATGAGGTCCAAATATGTGGTTTGCAACGCCATGCGGGGTTAAATAAGTATTTTTTTTTTAAATTTATTCAATATAAAGAGATTAACAATAGATTTTAAACAATGTAATCTCATCTGTTCCGCTCAAAAATGCACAATATGTCTATAAACAATTCTGGAGTATTATCCACCTTATTCCTGGGAGGCTTTTTTTTTGGGGGGGGGGGGGTTACAGTTGGGCTGTTCGTAGCTGTACTCTAAGTTTAGATTGTGGCTGCTAGTGATGTACTGACGTTGCGCTACAACAAATTGCAAACATCGAGACTATTATGAACATCGCAATAAACATGAAAACAGACACGAATGAACGTGTCCGTGAAGTTGCGCAACTAAACGCCATTATAATCATTAATATTAAGATAAGCGTCACAAATCTGTGCAGCGGGACATCTGAGTTGTGGAGCCGCAGCGCGATGCGCTGTGACAGCAAACGCAGGGCCGTAACGCAGAACCTGGAGGCTGGGGCAGGGTGGGCGGGGGGAGGACTCTAAAATCCTACTTAGATTTTAGTGGAACACACAAAAACATGCATAAATTACTAAAGTTTCTTTTGTACTGTTGTCACCATTAAACAATCTCCCCTTCAGTTCAACCTTATAAGTGGAGATATACTTAGTGAAGTAGCTAAATATGCTAATGCGGGTTATTTGCGGCCATTTCTTCATGTCGCTATTCCTCCTTGCAATAGCTATAGGTAGCGGTAAAACAATATTACCATGTTTAAGCTGTGATGGTACATATTTTATAGCCTAAAACCTCTGACAAAAGCCGGTTAGCGACTTGCAACATGTAAACAAATGGCGGTTCCAGTTTGCGGCAGAAGTCGTGCCCATAAATCAGGCAAAGCCTCATGGAGGCTAGGAATAAGGTGGATAAAGAAGTACTGAAATATTCCGTTTCCCAACGAAATAACCTCATTGCCACTTTGGCACAAGCACAGTGACAAACGTTCAGAGGATGAAAACAACAGACTGAGCAAAACTCATATGATCCAGCTTTCCGCCAGCATTTAAACACATCACTTACGCACTCATTTGAGGCTGTCTGAAGAGTGAAATGAGTCTCAAAAATCCTTGTGCAGTCGTAACCGGATCTGTGCGTAAATGCAGTTTTGTCTGTGTGCATCAGGCTACTCGTAGGCAAAGGTTTGAATTCGTATTTATCAGATTTGTGAGGTTGTAGTTAAAAAAAATTTGTGCGTAGAAATTTTACATTTGTAGAAATTGTAATTGCGTGTGTGTACTTTTATTTTATATTCGTAATTTCTTCATATTTGTGTATGCATTTGACCACATATTTACAAGTACCCAGAGTTATGCACAAATTTTCTTTTTACGGTTTACAAATCATGTTTCACAGATACAAATCTCCAAAGTTACACACAAAGATGCTTACATGGATTACAAATCCAGTATTACACGCGCACAGGTATTTTGAGACTATTTTCACTCCATACTCTGCTAACATCTTCCATCAAGAATCTCTTTGTCAGAAAAACAAAAACAACAAAAAAAAAAAAACATCCTTCAAGATTTTGGCGATTTGCAGCAACTTCACATGATTGCAAATTTCACCTTTAAGAAGCGGCGGAAGGAGAAAGCATTTTTAGCCCAAGTCGTCTTTTTTTTTCTTTTTCCCCCCTGCTGGTTCGTTTAACAAAGCAAATCAGATGCTTCCAACACATTGAGCTACATGCTACACATGAAAACAAAAAAGATTTTCTAAATAAAAAAAATAAATTTACAAAAGTTAGATCATTGATTGTGAGCTACTTTTACCAACAAACAGAAATAATATTTTTAAATAGTACAACCATTATTGTTAATGTGTTTTTTTTTTCCTTTCTATTTTCTACACCTTCCTATTAATAAAAAGCTGGGTGGGATCGGAGGGTTTCTTCTAGGAGGCTGGTTTTTTCAGATCCCTGATCTGTTTGATAAGGTACGTCTTCTCGTCGTTGAACTGCTCGTCGTCTGTGCGGTCCTTCTGGAAGTTGCTTAAGAAGTCAATTAGTTTGGTCTGGTTCTTCAGTAGGATGTCGGCGATGGGCTGCGTCTTGTTGGGGTTCGCTACAAACACCTGGACAGAGACGGAATCAATAACAAGTTTCAGCTTTCTTATAACTGCCTAAAACCAAAGAACCGCATGGAGTAAAAACTGTGAATAAAAACAGCCACCAGTTTAGCAGAATCTTAGATATTTAAAACAAAAAAAAAATGAACCAATAATTATCAACACTTATATCACCATATATTTTTCAGCAATATCGTCCGGCCCCAATTCACTTAAATTCATCTTTGCCTTGAATTTTTGTCTCTTTTTTTTTTTTTTTTTTTTCCTTAAAAACGGGGAAGGCCTCAAACTGAATGTTGGAACTCTTGTCTCTGAGCAGATTCATCATTAGCTTGAGGTTCTCAGGCTTGCTGATGTAGTATGTCATCACCGTGAAGTTGTGTCTGTCCAGTAACAGCTCGCCCAGAAGCTGCAGGAAGCATAGTTTCAAAAGAGTTCATGTTCAGACAGGCTGTCTGAGTACTTGCTTAATAAAAACACCGGGCGGCGTCTGAGTCAGACCTTAAGCGATTGCCGCTTTGTGACGTAGTTCTCAGAGTGCAGCAGCTTCTCATAGTTAGCAAACACCTGCAATCAAATGTAAAGAACATAATAGTTTAGTTTGTTAAGAGTTTGAGATCTGGTCTGAGATGTACACAAGGTTTCAGGGCTGAGACCTCCATAGCAGAAACTTTATCTAGAGCTGGATTCATTCATTCATTCATTTATAAAGCTCTTTAAAAACAAGAGGCAACCAACGTGCTGTACAGGTCAATCAGAAAATACAAAGTTGACAAATAAACAATAAAATTCCCAAGGAAGCCGATTTGAAAAACACTCAGTCTTTAAGAGAGATTTGAATTCCTCTCATCACAAAATAACATCTAGGTGATGTTATCTATAGGTTTTCTAATCCATCTCTGGAAGGGTGTTTTTTAACCTTGATCACTCACAGCATCGTAGTTCTTTTCGAGGAATTCAGCCACGACCACTTTGTGTCTTGTAAGGAGATCCTGTGGATATAAAGACACAATAAAAATATTACTGATCAAAGAAATGAAGAGTTTTAGCCTCTATTATCTCCTTCCTTGTAGAGCTCTTTTTTTTTCAAAGGTTTTAACAAAAATATCAGAAAATAAGTACAAATTTGACTAAGATGCAGAAAGGTTGTTGAATTTTAAGTGTTTTTTTTTTTTATTGGCCTGGTAAGAATTAATGGAAATAGCTGAAATATTGTATTTATCAGGAACCCTTAAAGAAGACCATATCAAGGAAAGCTGACATCATTCAAAGTTACCTTAAAGGTGGCAAAGGCGTCAGAAGCGATGTCAAATGTGGACATTTCCACGTAGCTGAAGAAGCTGTGAAAATGTTCAGAATAGAGAACTATCCTGGCGAGTGGCTCGTAGCGAATGCATTCCCTCAGCATGATGCCGCAGTTCAGCGCTATCTGCGGGGTTTCGTATCTGGAAATACACAGAGGCAGCGTTGCGTCAGTTTCCGGGATTCGCAGAGCCAGTGCCGTAAAAAACCCTCGTCTGACTCACCCTTTCAGCAGGACGAAGAGAACCTCTTGGTGGGAGCACAAGTATTCGACCGTGGGGCTCCTCGCTCCAATCTGCCTCCTCAGGATGTTGTTAAAGATCTGACAAACGTCCTTCTTCCCCTGAAAACGCACAGAAATGAAACCGACACACTGAATTCTGGAGTTTCGTCCTCCTCGTTCGTCGCCACGTGGATTCGCGACCTCGGTTTCTGCTCACCTCAAACTCTATATACTGCAGGTTCTCTACCAGCGCAATCAGCAAGCCGTTGTTGTACAGCTCCTGCGCGAGCTGGGCCACGGTCTCGGTGTGCGGCTCCTTGTCGTTGCTGCCGTAGAGAATCTCCTTCATCGACACCAAGCATTTTGAAACCTCCTCAGACGCCTGGAGAACGGAGGAAGCGAGCAGAATGAAGAAAAGAAAAAGCAACTCGATCAGGAGGAAAGCAGCACTGCTGTGCATAAGAGACTGAACGGTCCTGGCAGTGAAGTGTCAGGAGGTGACATGTTCATATCTTTAATTTCACAGACCGTTGTGACCCCTTAGCCTCTGGACATCCTGGAAGCTAGAGAAACTCATCTTGTGGAGTCTGGGTTTTCCTACCTTGTCTGTCTTCTTGTCATGTTTGACCAGGATGGCCAGGTTTTCCTTTAGGGTCTTGATAATGTCCGCTGGACTCTTGTGGGATTTACCAAACAGCGGCATGACGGACACCCGTTAACGCTTCGAGACCTGCAAAACACAACAGACTTTAGTCTGCGATACATGGCAGGGAGGGGCTACTAGCAATTATATTAAATATTTTTAATTAATAGAATAAACATTTTATAGCGTCCTTTTAGTGTACGTTTGATCATTTGTAGCAAAAGATGCACCTGCAGCTAAAATATACCTCTGACATCAACGTGTGAAAAGTTCAGCCCTGATTAAAATGCATTGTTTGTTTAACATTAATACCATATTTGGAGGCTACAGTCTTTCAACTCTGAACCCTGAGCCGTCTCTTTTTGTCCTTCCTGTAAAGCTAATCACAAATAAAGGCAACTAGCAACACAAAAAGAGACATGAGGTGAAAGTAGTAATAAAAAAAAAAACAAAAAACTGCAAGGCCAGTGTGACTTTGTTGGTTCGCATTTCTGCACCACGTCATTGTTCTGGAAGTAATGAGTCAGGTCCGAAACACTTCTGACATCCCAGATATGCAAAGACTGTGAGCTTACAAAGTAGACGTAAAGCGACAAAACTGGACTGACGGTAGCCGAGTCGGACAACTTTGATGTGCCCGAGTTGTGAGGAAACCCTGCAGAAAATAGAAGATTCAAAACCATCTGCCAGATAACAAAAACAAGTCTACTTTTTTTTTTCTCCATTTAAATACAGCCCTGCAAGGAAACACACATTCATCTGATGTCAAGCAGACATGCCGTGGTTTTCCATCATTGCACAACTCATCGCTCGGGTTGTATTTTGCCCTGGAACACCCAGAATGTCAAGGAGTGTTTGGCATCCGCCTGTCTTAGTAGGTGGAGGCCGGCTAAGAACGGCGCTGAAGCCACTCTGTTGGCATGGAAACGCATAAGATAACGACATGCACTTCAGCATAGAGAAGGAGCAGTTTGGGAAGCAGCTCGGGACGAGGGGAACTTGTGACTGCTAATCCTCACCTGGGAATGAGAGGGCATTACGCTCCCTTCATTACTCTCCCCTCCTTCGTAGATATTTCAGTTCCCAAAGATTCATTTTCTTTTTTCAAATATTTGAGAGATAATTGAAATTCAGTAAAACAAGTAAAACTGGGCAGATACTAGCAACCAATATTTGTTTCCATCTTGCTGCCATTTGCTTTTCAGAAGTTAATGTGATAATTGTCATCTGACAGTGATGCAGCACAGGACTGTGGGTGTTTTTAACTCAAGCAGAGCAGCAATGTAATCATTGTAGCCTTTCTTTTTTAAAGAGTGCTGAAATATAATGTTGGAAAAAATGTTTTTTCAGCTGTTACTTTACTCAGTTAGTAAGCAGATTTAGAGTGAAAACAAACTCCTGATTACTTGTTTTGGTTGGTTTTATTTTATTATGATCTTTCCATTTTGATTAAAGTGTAACAGCGCTGTGAGGAAGTATTTTAAAGAGAGAGTACAGACCCTTTAATGCTTCTTTAGCTACTCATGCTGGGTCCTGTTCTCCAGCGTTTCCTGGCAGGTTTTGTTGTTACCCAGTAATTATTAAGAATAAGGTCCAAAGGGCCGGCTTTAATTACCTAATCACAAGGCTTTGAGCCATTGAAAGCTTCAACAGCTGGTTAGTGTTCATTCCTGCCTCTGAAAACTGACTAAATGTGATGTAATGAGATTAATCTGATGCCTGGCGGGGTTGAACGCACACAGCTATCAGCTCAGTTTGAATAAAAGCTAACCGGAGAGCTTCCGCATGAACCCAAACACCTAATTTATAAGTCACAATCTTGATGGAGATAAACAGAACACAGCTAAAGTTTGGGAAGCAGTGACAGAGACAAATGTCTAAATAAAGCCTGAAATATATCCCAGTGTACTGGTTAGCTATGATTAAAACAGCTGAACTGGCTGTGAACTTGTCAGAGATACCAAACACCATATTTCACCACCGGATTACAACATCCAATGAATGAACCTGCGCTTGCTGGATGACTAATCGCTGACGTAGCGATGCAGCAAGGCGACGATCAGGAAGCCCTGAGCAGTCACATGCTGGAGATGTCATTCAGGAGGAAAACGAACTACGAGACGGAGCTTTACCTAAACCTGACGGGGTTAGGTAAAGCCATTAACCTAAATATTAAATAAAAAACACTTAAATGTTAGGTTGTTCTGGGATTAAAAAGGCATTTCAAACCAAAAACTGGGCTTACAGGAGTTAAAAGATGTCAAAAGCTGCAAATTTGTTCAAAATGTGTGCCAAAAAAAAAAACAACAAAAGAGAAACACTCCTATATGGTTGATAGCTTTTGGTAAATAAATGCTATAAGAGCCCTCTGATAGACAATAATTTTAGTCTCTGGAAACTCATTATTTCCAAGGAAACTGGCGACTTTGAGGTAAACGGGTAGGAATGTTTCCTTCCTGGACAAACGTGCAGCTGTCAGGTTCAGCTGATGTCGGATAATGGTGCAACAGGGCCTGAGTTTGTGAAAACACACAAATAAACTGACTTGACCATCTAACTGCGGTGATACATCAACAAATTCAGTTAAATTTGATTAAAAATACTTAATCGTAATCCATAACATCCAAGTGTTAAAGAATCTTTGTGGATAGCGGGGACAGTGGGCAGGAAGGATCTCCAGTAGCAGTCAGTTTTGCAATAAGTCAGAAGAGGCCTCTGACTGAAGACTGTTGCTGTATGATAGTCTTATGACTGTCATGACATGGCAGCTCAATTTCTCGACAACAGAGATGATATTTCACAGCAACATGTCCCAGATGACACAATCTATTGTTATAATTGTGATAATGAAAAAGGAAGTAAAGAACTGATATAATCCAAAATTTCAGCAGTATTATTATAACTATATGTTTGTCCCAGACTAGTATAATGCAGCCCTAATTTGTATTCAGCCAACTTAACTCCAGTATTTCTAAGAAAAATTAAATTGCAACCAGCTCCCTTAATAAACAACCTTATTAGTGTATATTCAATCTCAATTTAAATACAGATGTTTTACTAACAATGTACTATGTCTGGAGAACCTTTTTCATGGCTTAGGTCACAATGTATCGATGTGTTAGATTGGCCTAGTCAAAGTCCATACTTAAAAAAATGATTGAGCTGAAGATAGTTAGCTAGTTTCGGATAACTACTTCAAAGATAACCCTTACACTCACAAAAAGGCCAACATCCAGTTTAAAAGCAGAAAAAATAAAAATAAAAAAAATTTTGAGTTTTGAACAGTTTTTGTTTTGAAAATTCACACCGGTAGAGGGGTGGTATTCCTTTAAGACTTGCTTGACGATGATTGTCCAAAGTAACATACGAGATAAGGAGGCAGGGAAGAGAGGAGGGGGGGGGGACAAAAACAAAATACACGCACGGCATTTACGGTGAAGCTAAAGAGTTAAAGAGCCCATAAACGACGGGGTTTGGCGGAATAATCTAGCAATAAGGTGGAGGGAAGTGATAAGCGCATAAGGCCGCATTAAGAGACCCAGACAATGTGATTTACCACGGCTACACCCCTCTCGCCTCCAGCCAAACTCCCTTCTTGTCTGACAGATTTCCAAAGCTAACTACAGCTGCAGACATCACTGCAGGAACAACCGCACGACGGAGGGGTGGGGGAGCGAGAAAGGCCTCCCATATGTATCACCATTAAACACATTTTAACCCCTTTCATGAAGTTATGAACACTGTCAAGGGCAGTGATATGAAGCCAAAAGGGTAACTGGAAGCTACTGCTTTCGGCAGCATTAGCTAGAAATTATACTCACAGCGAGAAGATGTTTGGTGTCTTTTAAATGTCCTGACCGCTTCAGTCCCGGTTCACAGCGCAGCCGAGCCTGAAAGTAAAGACTCCGTGTTCACACCAGGGCTGTTTGTTGACCGCTAAAAGTCTGCTAAAAATGTCTGCGATACAATTTAAAACGTGAGGGATCCGTAAAGAAGGGAGTGCAGAATTCCATCTGGTCGCGCTCCAGTATTCTGAAAAGTTAGCATGAATAAAATAGCTTAATTCCGGTACAGATTTTCAAAATAAAATCACAAAGGATAATTCACGCTAAAAAGATAGGATTCAAAATAACTTAAATGTTAATATATACAAAAAATAATATTTTATTAAATTCCTATGAACTCTTCTATTCTGGTTTTTCTTTTTTATCAGATAGTTTTTATTTATAGCGTTTAAAATACCCCACTTCCGGTAGTAGGTAGTTAGGTTTGTCATTACTAACTTGACAAATCTGTATCTTTCCAGCTGCGGCCAAATCTCATTCACTTTCTGTCACCTGATACCTTCCTCTGCACCTTCTTCACTGCCTTTCCCCGATGTACGCATTTAAATTAGTAGTAGCGTAAAAGGTAAATTTTCTAAATTTATCTTTCGAATATATCTGTTATGTAGTTTGTAGAATTCTGGAGAAAAGATTTAGAAAAATCTGCAAATGTTTTTAAGATTATTTCAGTCTGTATGGAGCGCCAAATGAGCCAAAACACAAGCCTTTTTTTTGTTTGACTACTTTGGTCAAAATAGATAACTTTGACAGAGTAATAATGCAAATAATTATTTTGCAGAATACTAATGCATAATATTGTGAAAATGCCACATATGAAATTAAAGAATAAAAAAAACTAGCTTTTGGTACAATTCAACTCAAGTGTAATAAACAGAGTCAAGACCACATCAAATTTTGGTATCAAAATAATTCAAATGAATACTGCAGTCATGTAAATAAGAAATCGAGTTGAGGAAACAATCTCAGACTTTATTAAAGCTGCTTTAATTGTACATACAAGTCAGAATACATATTTACAAATATACATATGTCTCATAACACTTTTATTTCACCATCATACACAGTAGATATACCATCAGAAAATAAAGACAGTGGTTGCCGCAATGTGCTGCATAAAACAGAAAAGTGAAAAATATATAACCCCTTTCTCAAATGTGTGTTTTGTTTTTTGTTTTTCCAGCCTCAGAATAAAAAGTAAAAATGATTCATTTAACTTTATGGTGTGACCATGATCAAACCCCAACAAGTTTAGTGCCAGTGTCAGGTTTCTCTTTTTTTTTTTTTCTTTAAAGAGGGCAGAAAATAAACTCTCATAATGTACGAACAGGTACAAAAAATATATATTTTAGGTTCAAAATGGGGAGCTGTGAGGAACATGCCACAAAGAGTGAAACGTTGAGACAAAGAGACTCTTCTTTACAGTGTACATGCTTTTGAGGAGAACAGCATGAGGTATAGAGGCGACGTCGACAGAACAGGTACATTTACTGACACAAAAGGCCAGCCAGTCACACACACAGTTAGAAAACGAAAAGGCCTGCAGCATAGTTTCTTCCTTTCCCTTTACTAACAGAGGCGTCAGGCCCAGTGTGGGCAATAAACGGGTGGAGTTGAGCTTAGTTCAATAGCATTCCTGTTCATAAAAATAAAGGAAGAGAGTACTTTACAGCGCCTTGTGGATACGGTAGAAACCCGGGGGTATATAAAACCATGTTTGCTCTCAAAGAGCGAATGTGATTCTGTGTCTGTAACAGCACAAGTTCCTCATTCTGTGAAAATCCTACAATAAAAACAAACACTTTTTTTTATCATTCCCCAATGGGATCAGATACACTAAATGGGTGCGCACAAACATGTTGAGCAGGTCTGGCTTTCTTTAAAAAGAAAAAAAAAGAAAAATAGCGGCGAGTGTCACATGCCTGAATGGGGCTGGGAGCAAAGGCCGAGCACAAAGCTTTCTTTTGTGCAGAGAAACAAACATAAATGCAGTTGATTGAGATTTGCGACGTTGTTTGGTCATTTCAGCGCGCGTCAGCGGTGGGGGGGGGGCAGGAGGTCACAGTGACACAGTGCTGCTGGAAAATGATTTATGTAGCCACTGAGTCAACCAGCGCCTGCCCCTTTAACAGCTCTACGGACTGGCAGGCAAGAATGTGCACACAAAGACAGTTAGCCCCCATGCACAGGTATGCAGTCACACCTGCCGGACCGAGTAACCACTACATTTTCCTGAGAGATAAACAGAGAAAAAAAAATAAGAAAAAGAAACAAAGAAATCCAGATGTCGAAGCTGCCAGTATTTATAAGTGGAGAAGTGCAGGATGTGGATCTTTCACCTTCTAAGACATCAAAATCTTTATTTATTCTGCAAAAATATGGAAGGGACGCAGCATTTTTGTGCCAAACAAACACACACAACGGCCTCCCACAAACAACAACAGGAGGAGCGCAGTTTCGCTCCAAGACGCAGCTGCCGGCATGTTTTTAGTTGCAGCCACCCGCCACTTTTCACAATGTACGATCGATGCCCGACACCGAAGCCGTCGCAATACGTGAAATGCCTGTTCGATAGCATCTGTGCGAAGCTCCGAAGAAGAATCTGTCGCTGAGCTGCAAAGTTTGACTCCAGTGTTGTTGCATTTAGTGCAGATATTCTTTAAAATGTCTCTTTTGATGCTACATTATAGCGCTATGGCACTGAACGCATGTCCAGTAAGTTAAGTTAAGGCTTCCGAGCCTTTTGGGATTTTTAAAGCAGACCTGACAGGAGACGACGAATCCACATGGTACGACTGCAAAAATTAGAAGTTTAAGGTGCAAGGAAACTTTAAAGTGTGCCATTGAAAAGAAAGAAAAAAAAACACATTCTGTTCTCCTGTCAGAGTCAGCTGCAGAATTTACGACGGGAGTAGAAAAATAACTTAAGGGTTGAGGGACGGGGATGGGATCTTCGGTCAGGGTTTGATGTCGGAGAAGCTGGTGTAGGTCTCGCTGCAGCTGGAAGAGGTGCTTAGGTTCCCAGAGACGCTGCCATCTGCAGGACAAAATGCGCAATCAGTTTCCGCTTGCAGTCGCGACACAGAGCAAAGAGACTGACGAGAAACGGCAACCGACCGGAGCTGCTGAGCGACTGAGACGATTTGGACTCTGAGATGAGGCTGAGGAGGTTCGCGGCTGCCACCCAGCCCTCCTTACCGCTGCGGAGGTTCTTCACAAACCTGCAGAGGAGGAAGCAGACTTGAAAATAATCTTCACAATAATGTATCACTTTTGTTGTTTTGTCACATGGAATCCCAGTGGAATCTGTTAATAGTTTGATCCAAAGAAGATAAATTGTGAAAACTCTCAAACGGAGTGAATACGTTTTTTTTTTTGCAGCAGTGAAACCCTCAAATTAAGGAAATGTCTTTCGATGGTGGAAGGAAAGTTTTTACCATTGTCCGTCCTCTCCCTCTCTGATTAGCTGGACCATGTCTCCACTTTTGACAGACAGCTCTTGAGGACCCGCCTTCTCGCAGTCTGCTACCACGCTGTACTTTCCTGGAGCCTTCAGAGTTAAAAAATAAAAACAGAAAAAACATATTTAATGAGATAATTACAGTGAAAAAAGGATTTCAGAGATTTCAAGCTCACCAGCTTTTTCACCACTTCATCCTCGATGTCAGAGGTCATGGGGTCCTCTCCGCTGGAGAAGCCGTCGTTCTCCTCCGAGGCGTCCGCTGACAGAGACGGCTTGTTCCAGCCTGATGTTAAAAAAGGACGACAAAAGATTCAGTCAAATCAAATTAAAGACACGAAGAAGAAAAATGTTGATTTGATGCACTCAGATCATGACATCAGATTGCAACCAGGGGGACCAATTTCTTTCTCCAAATTGTTTTTGCTATTTTCTCTGCTTTCTGTTCAACGAAAGCATTAAAAAGTCCATGTCCGAGCGATCTCCACAGAAAAAAAAAAAAAAGTTTAATCTAAATGTTGAATTTTAGAAAAGACATCCACGTTTGTGATTGCAAGCTGAAAGTCACAGTCAAATTAGGAGAAAGTGTCAAACTAAGACAAGCCAGTCCACCAATTCAGAGAGAGTAAAACTGGGAAACAAGAAGGATTTGTTCTGTTCAAAGATCTGGTTGTTGAAAAGGTGTTGAAGTTGCACAAAACCACCCAAAGTAGAAAGAAGAACAAACTGATTTATGGTGAAGCAGGCATGTCAAATCAACCATTTGACCTCAATTAACTGTTTCTCTGGTCTGAATGCGGGAGAAAATGAATCTGAAATGCTGCCGGCTTCACCACAAGGAGCACCGTAACAGCAAAACCTGCCACAGTGTGACCGAACCGCCAACCTTCAGGCGGTGGTGTTACCTCGCCGCTTGCTCTGTAACAGGTTAGAGGTACTCATCCATTTGACTCTGCTCAGAGTGCTGCGTGAAGCCGGCTCTGAAAGGGGGGAAGAAACTGCCAGCGAGTCAATGACAGGAGAGGAAATGGTGTTACGCTTCAAACTGGAGGATTCGGGAGCATTTTGCTTCCAAGCTGGTCAGAAGAAAGAGTTAGTGAAGCATCTAGAGAGAAGTTTAGGTCGGAAAAGAGACTTTGAGGATTGACGATCTGCAGATCAGTGGAAAAATGTTGTTCTTGATATAAAACCTCCAGGTTTATGAGGCCTTTTAGGGAGCTTTTTCAGGAATAAGCAAATTTGTGGCATAATTCTGGATGCTTAAAATGGTACCTTGTTTTTACAGTACCTACTATGGACAATTTTATCTTTCATTTAAGGTTTAATATAGTCTCCATCATTAAATTTTGACATAAAATGGTTTCTCTCCACACATATTAAACAAATTAAATGTGAAATGACGTGACAAGAATGTACCTTTGAACCCAAACGGCGTGGGGTCGCTCTTGACCGAGTGGCGTTTGGAGGAGAGCTCAGGACTCAGAGCTGAGCCTGGGCAGGCAGGCAGGGAGCAGAGGGAGAAACGAGCAGCGCGTCGAGAGGGGGGAAGCAAAAGCAAAAGTCAGGTTTTATTTGGGAAAAAATGGGAAAGAGGAGAGAAAAGGTACAAAAGCAAAAGAAAGAGAAAAAAGCAAAAGGGTTGTTTCACTTTCGACCACCAGGTGGCAGAATACCTCCACCGTCGGTTTTTATAGCTCTTGGAAACTCATGAGGTTGTTGTTTCTTAATGTTACCTTTGGGG